CTTTTCTGTGCAGGGCACTGGAGAAGGCCGACTGCTCCCACCTACTTCAAAGCAACTTTCACTGGTTTCACTCGGGCTTTTGACCTCTTCTTAAGTAAGCGATTGCTCTTAGGTGACAGATGAGCCTCTGATCACAGATCCCGCTTCCCAAGCTACATATCCCAGGGCAGCTTCAGATATTCTCCCCTTTGAAATAACCCACCTTCACATGAGGGGTTGGATTTCACCAGCACTCCGCTCCCCTAGTTTGAATCCCACCTCTCCGACTACCCCTTTAACCATCTGCAGCAAAGACGTCACATCTTCCTGGCTACCATTATACAGTGCCAGCTTCATAGAAGCCTAGAACTGGAAGGGACCTCGAGAAGTCATCATGTCCAGCCCCCTGCCCTCACGGCAGGACCAGGCACCGTCTAGGTCAGTGTTTCTCATCCTTTTTTTATAAAGTATCCCCTTTTCAAAAAAAAAAAATAATTATAACTACCCCCAATACCTAGACTTTTCAGACATACAACATTTTTTTCTACCGTTGCAACACATTTGTTTAAACAGCTTAATTGTAGCCAAGCGGGCGATGAAATTTTTGGGTGTAAAAAGTACAAAAATAATAAATTGCTGTAGAACTTAAAACAAAAATTCAGTTTTCTCCAAATTTCAGTTGTGTGGATGTACTCCTCAGACTTCTCTCGAGTACCCCTATGAGTACTCGTACCACTGAGTCTAGATCATCCCTGACAGGTGTCTGTCCAACCTGCTCTTAAATATCTCCAGAGATGGGGATTCCACAACCTCCCTTGGCAATTTACTCCAGTGTTTAACCACCCTGACAGGCAGGAAGATTTTCCTAATGTCCAACCTAAACCTCCCTTGCTTCATGTCTCACTTCAAGCATGCAAAACACATCTAAAGTGATGATGACCAAGCTCCCTCTTGGTAAAAAGCCCTCTTTGCCCTATGTCCTTCATGCTCTTAGCACTCTCCTTAACTGCAACCAAGAGCAAACATCTCCAAGCCACCCTTCACTCCAGATGTTTCTTCCCGTCTACAGCCACCTCTTTGACAATGTCAGAGTTTAACTTTTCCTCAAACCCATCTCTGCTGAAATTGTGAATCAATAACCCACCTTAATCAAGAACCACTGTGACTACAGCAGCTCGCTCGCTCTCATCTTATAGAATCCTAGGGTTGGAAGAGACCTCAGGAGGCATCAAGCCCAACCCCCTGCCCGGAGCAGGACCAATCCCAACTCAATCATCCCAGTCAGGGCTTTGTCAAGCCGGGATGGAGATTCCACCACCTCCCTGGGGAACCCATCCCAGGGCTTCACCACTCTCCTAGGGAAATAGTTTTTCCTAATATCCAATCTAAATCCCCCAATGCAACTCCAGACCATTGCTCCTTGTTCTGCCATCTGTCCCCACTGAGAACAGCATCTCTCCGCCCTCTATGGAACTCCTTCTCAGGTAGTTAAAGGATGCTCTCAAATCCCCCCTCACTCTTCTCTTCTGTAGACTAACTAAGCCCAAATCCCTCAGCCTCCCCTCCTAAATCACATGCTCCAGTTCCCTAATCTTTTTTCTTGTCCTCTGCTGGACTTTCTCCAATGCGTCCGCATCCTTTCTGTAATAGGGGGCTTGGAATTGGACACAATACTCCAGATGTGGTTCACCAGTGCTGAATAAAGGGGAATAATCACTTCTCTAGATCTGCTGGCAATGCTCCTCCTAATGCACCCTAATATGCCATTAGCCTTCTTGGCTACAAGGGCACACTGTTGACTCATCTCCAGTGTAATCCTCTTCTGCCAAACTGCTGCTTAGCCAGTCGGTCCCCAGCCTGTAACAATACTTGGGATTCTTCTGTCCCAAGTGCAGGACTCTGTGATCGTCCTTGTTGAACCTCAGATTTATTTTGACCCAATCCTTCAATTTCTGTAGGTTACTCTGGACCCCATCCCTACCCTCCAACGTATCTACCGTCCCCCTAGCTTAGTGCACTAGTGTCTTCTCTTACATTTACCGATTTCACACTCATCTCTGTTGTTTTGAGAGCAATGTTAAACGGCTCTCAAAACTTTCCATGGCATCATCTCACCTTGTATCTCTATGCCCTCGTATCCAGCCATCTCTTCTGCCTGTTCACTGCAACCTAGAGTCTCTCCCCAAACTCTGCAACAGTTTGGGTGGGAGTTGTTGCTCATTAATTTGGTGCATCCTTTCTGTCTGAAATGGTCTTCCTCTAAGCCATCTTCTCTATGTCTCATCTTAAAGCCTTCCTTTGCCTCTCTAGAGATCACAATGTAATAAATCGTATTATTCAATTTTGATTACATGTAATGTTCCTCATACACTTACACAGTTTTCTCCGAGTCTGATCCAAAGCTTACTGAAGTCTCATAGACTCATAGACTTTAAGGTCAGAAGGGACCACTATGATCATCTAGTCTGACCCCCTGCACAGTGCAGGCCACAGAATCTCACCCACCCCTCTTAGAATAATCCTCTCACCTATATCTCAGATATTGAAGCCTTCAAATACTTTGAAGGCCCCAAGATGCAGAGAATCCTCCAGCTGTGATCTGCGCCCCATGCTACAGAGGAAGGCGAAAAACCTCCAGGGCCTCTGCCAATCTACCCTGGAGGAAAATTCCTTCCCGACCCCAAATATGGCGATCAGCTAAACCCTGAGCATGTGGACAAGACTCACCAGCCAGACACCCAGAAAGTTCTCTATAGTAAGTCAATGGGAAGCACACTAATATATGGAGATATACCTATCTCAAAGAACTGGAAGGGACTTTGAAAGGTCATCGAGTCCAGTTCCCCGCTCTCCCGGCAGGCCCAAGTACCATCCCTGACAGATTTGCCCCAGATCCTTAAATGGTCCCCTCAAGGATTGAACTCACAACCCTGGGTTTAGCAGGCCAATGCTCAAACCACTGAGCACTAGCGACTCCAGTGGCCTTTGGTTCAGGTGCTCTCATGCCCGGGAAGGGATTGACATGGTCTGAACACAGGACCAGGAACTCTGCAATTCTAATTCTTCCTCCAAACACAGATTTCCTCTGGGACTTTGGACAAGTCATTTAAACTCTGTGCCTCAGATTAGGCATCTGTAACGCGGGTGTGAGGAGGGCTAGTTATTTGTAAAACTTACTTTCTTTTCAAGAAAGCAGATTTTGCACATAGAGGTTTGCCAATATCACAGTGGCAGGCGGCGGGAAAAGAAGGGAAGGCTCTTGGGCACTCAAGAGTCCCTAGTTATGACCACACAGGAGCCAGGCTCCTGCACTCACCGGAGGGGCACTGTAACTGGCATGGGGGTTGTTCTGGATTTCCCACAATCCCTCATTGAAGCCTTTCCGCTTGTTTGGCTTCCCGTATTTGTCCTTGTACTTGTCATAAGGGAACAAGTCCTTAGGTCCCAAGAAGGCTCTGGGGGGAAAACAAAGCAGAGGTCAGTCCCGAGCAGCCGGGAAGCGGGCCACCGCAAGGGAATGGAGCGGAGAGCAGGGCTTACGTCTCATGCGTCCCAAAGAAGAAGATGGGGTACTTGTTTGGCGGGGGTTTCACGGCGCCGTCTGCTATGTCATCAATCTGAAATGAAGCACAAAGCAGGAGGGGGTCAGAGACGGCAGACTAGGGTGCAGCATGAGGAGGCAGCTAACGGATCCAAAGGCAAGGTTGGCTGCTTCCCATGTACACGGCAATTACACACCAAGGAAGGGAGCCTGCTACCCTCTGAATTCAAAGATAGTGCTTATGGCCAAGCAGGATCAGTAGGCAAGTAACAGCAGGGATCCGCTGCAGCTGCGGTGTTGCAAGAGCTCTAGTCTAAGACTCAGTATCCTTAGGGCTGGGAAGGCTGCAACACGGGTTCTGCACATGCAGGGAACAAGTGCCTTGCCTGGACCACCAGGAAGAACACAGTGGAAGGACTCCCAGGAGAGTCCATCCAGCCCTACTTGGGAGGAAGAAGATTGCTCCAGCAGGTGGCTTGAAATCCTCCTTCCTGGCTGGAAACAAGCGACAGGAAAAGCCCAGGCTGCTAGAAAGCAACTGGCTCGTACTGCACAGGAAGCCCAGCCTTCCCTCATGTTCCACTGGTTCCAGTGCCCATCAGTCCTCGCACATGGCTAGGGTCCTTCCACACTCACCGTCCATTTTGATCAATGTCGCAGTCACAGGATTTTTAAAATAATAATTTTCATGATTTCAGCTATTTAAATCAGAAATGGAAATGTCGTGATAGTGCAATTGTAGTAGGGATACTAAAATGTGATTATTTGTGAAAAATTCAGCAGTTACACGTTTACACACCGGGGGGTGGGGGGAAGGGTAGGTGGGAGCCGATGCTTGTTGGTTATTAAGCCAGCTCCCCACATGTACTGGCTCCTGCCTGGCCCCCCCCGACACACTGCTGCAGAGGAAGCAGTGTGTGAGGGGGAGCCAGGCGGCTCTGGGGGAGCTGGCATGAGTGGGGTGCCAATTTAAAAGCCTGCTCCCCATGCACACCGGCTCACCTCCCTCCCCTGATTCAGGTGCAGAAGGGGGAGAGTAGGATGCATGTAACTGAGAGGGTTAACCGATGAGCCCGAGCTCATCAGTTAACTGTGTACTCGGATACACGTTCACATCCCTAAACTGTAGGGGTCCTGACCCAAAAAGAGAGTTGGGGGAGGGCAAAAGGTTATTGTAGGGCAGGACTACTCAACTTTGCAAGCCCTGGGGGCCACAATGATACTCACAGCACATGCCGAGGGCTGCAACTTAAGTGTGGTTGTGTATACATGCAAATACATATGCAAATAGCTTCTTTCACACTGACGGGCATGAATCCAAAGATGAAGGCAAGACTACACAACACGCAGACTGCATTTAACTCAATTCTGCTGATATTAATAAAATGCAATATTTACCTGATTTCCACCCATGTGACAGCACTTTCAATGAGCAATGACAGTCCAGGAATTTAACTACTAAAACACCTATCAACGGAAGACCATTCCATTGACTACTTTTTTGTTTTGGCTCCCACCCACGGGCCTTGTCTTGAGCCCCATGTAAACCCAAACCTCACTGCGGGCCACAAACAAACGGGCTGCATGCAGTCCGCGTGTTGACTAGCCCTGCTGTAGGGGTTGCAGTACTGCTTCTCTTACTTCGGCACTGTCCTTGCAGTGGTGCCGTCTTCAGACCTGAGCAGCTGGAGAGGGGTGGCTGCTGGCCAGGAGCCCAGCTCTGAAGGCAGAGCCACCACCAGCAGCAACTCAGACCTAGGATGGCCAGGTATGGTATTGTAGGCCTGCAGTGAGCAGTCACCAGTCTCCAACTGCCCAGTCTGAAGGCAGCACCACAGTCTGGCATTGCCACCTTTACTTCTGCACTGCTTCTGGCAGGGCACTGCCTTCAGAGTTGGGTGCCCAGCCAACAGCCTCTGCTCTGTGGCACCCAGCTCTGAAGGCTGTGCAGAAGTAAGGGTGGTAATACCTGTACCCCCCCCTAAAATAACTTTGTGACATACCCTCCCCCAACACTTTTTGGGGTCAGGCTCCCCCAATTTGAGAAACACTGGTCTCCCCTGTGAAATCTTTTTAGTATGGGGAAAAGCAAACAAAAGACCAGATTTCACAGTGGGAGACCAAATCTCACAGCATGCTAAGGATGTTAAGAGGCAGATAATCCACTAATCATGTAAGGGGCAAAATGTTTATTAACTACAGGATTAGTTGATAAGGGAAGGCTTCTCAGTCTCATCTCACAGCTGCAGTTCTGCATTTTAAATGTAGTAACAGCTGGGCTGCCTGCGCAGCTGGCTCTTACATTTAAACTGCAGAGCCACAGCCGGGGTAGCTCCCAGACCTGGCGCAAGCCGGTACTGAGCCAGGATTGCTCAGTCCTGGCTCACGCCAGGTCCAAGACCTACCTGTGCTGAGCCTCTGCAATATATATGTAGCAGGAGCCAGGCTGCCTGCACACCCGACTCTTATTATATTTAAACTGTAGAGATGCAGCGGGGGTAGCTTCTGGACCCGGCGGGAGCCAGGACTTGCTCAGTCCTGGTTTGCACCAGTGGGGAGCTGGGACACACACACCCCTGCAGCCAGGGGCTGTCACCAGAGCACTCTCTGTCCGCAGCCAGCCTCCTCTGCCCCCCACAGGTGGCACCACAGACACAGTGCTGGGGGGGAACCAGCTTTAAAGCCAGTTCCCCCCAGCACCAGCACCAGCACCGACTTCCCTCCCTCCCTTGCTGCCTCTGTATCAGACAGTAAAGGGAGCGGGGGGGAGAAGCAAATAGTCGGCCCAACTACTCACCTACATCTCTACGGCACACGAGGCATTTTTCATGGCTGTGAATTTGGTAGGGCCCTACACATGGCACAGCTTCTAGGCAGGAGCCAAGGAATATTATGGGCTCTGTGATTACTGAAACATGGAAACGTACATGCTAGGGGGTGACATCGCATACTGGGGAAGTCTTCACAAGACAGCATCCCCCAGGGAAGGGCAGAGAGCTAACCCGGAGCACATTGGGACTCCAAATCTATGAGCATCCTCCCGATTCTAACCACGTTGTGCTGCAGTTCCACATTCTAGCACTAACCGACCTCAGGCACATTTGGGAAGATCCACGAGCAGATCCTGTCATGCACTGGAGGTCACGCATTGTCTTCCCAGCTCCCACACCCATAATCTTCCCTAGGCATCTACCGTGTCCCAGTCCCAGGCATTTGCAGCCTCTTGCCTCTTTCCACTATGCCCAAACCCCTCACATATAGAGACCTTGCCCCTCCCTCAGCTTTCATAGACCCTAGAACTGTAAGGGACCTCGAGAGGTCATCAAGGGTGCGTCTACACAGCGGGGCTTAACTCAAAATAAGCTACACACATCGAGCTATGTCAATTGCGTAGCTTATTTCAAAATTGGGAGCATCTACACAGCACTTATTTCAAAAGACAACACTCTTCCTCCGACTTCCCTTGCTCCTCCGACAATGAGGGTTACAGGAGGAGGAAGTCCTCCAGCTTGACAGTATTTTGACATTATTTTGAAATAACTGCCTGCTGTGTAGATGCAGACTAAGTTATTTCAAAATAACACTAGTTACTTCAAAATAATGTTGCTGTGTAGACGTACCCCAAGTCCAGTCCCCTGCCTTCACCACAGGACCATTTTAGATCTTCCCTGATACATGTTAATCTAACCTGCTCTTAAATATCTCCAATGATGGAGATTCTAAACAACGTCCCTAGGCAATTTATTCCAGAGTTTACCCACTCTGACAGTTAAGTTTTTTCTAATGTCCAACCTAAACCTCCCTTCCTGCAACTTAAGCCCATTGCTTCTTGACTTATCATCAGTGGTCAAGGAGAACAATTTTTCTCCTCCTTTCTTCTAACACCCTTTTAGGTACTTGAAAACTATCATCACATCCCCTCTCAGTCTTCTCTTTTCTACACTACACAAGCCCAATTCTTTCAGTCTTCCCTCATAGCTCATGTTCTCTAGACCTTTAATCATTCTTGTTTCTCTTCTCCGGGCCTTCTCCAATTCCTCCACATCTTTCTTGAAATGTGGAGCCCAGAACTGGACACAATATTCCAATTGAGGCCTAATCAGCACAGAGTAGAGCAGAAGAATGACTTCTCGTGTCTTGCTCACAATACTCCTGTTAATGCATCCCAGAATCATGTTTGCCTTTTTTTTTTTTGCAAGTGTCACACTGACTCATACTTAGCTTGTGATCCACTATGGCCCCTAGATCCCTTTCTGCAGTATTCTTTCCTAGACAGTCCCTTCTCATTCTGTATGTGTGAAATGGATTATTCCTTCCTTACTGGAGCACTTTGAGTTTGTCCTCATTAAACTTCATCCTATTTACCTCAGACCCTTTCTTCAGTTTGTCCAGGTCATTTAGAATTATGACCCTGTCTTCCAAAGCACTTGCAACCACTCCCAGCTTGGTATCATCTGCAAACTTTGTAAGTGTACTAAATTGTTGATCGTCCAATAGGACTTTACTTTTAAGGACCACTAATCAATGCCCTCTCATGCACATGGTGTTCCACACATATACATTGACTCTTCCTGATCATCAACATCCAATACACCCCCACCCCCTCCAGAAACTGACCCCCTGACTCCATCCCATCCAGAGGCCGTCACCCTGCCTCATCCACACCCTGTCCAAGCACTGTGACCCACACAGCACTGTCAGTCACCCTACAACAGTATCACACTGCAGCTCTTAAAACCAATCACCTGATACTCTATAACAGACCAATAATTCCTGCCTGCCCAAAAGAACCCCCATATCCTGTGATCCACTCCCCCATCTCCAATCATGTGCCTCTATGAACATCTCCTTTCATGTGCAGATCAGGGATAATCAATAGGCAGGCTGTGGGCAAAATCCAGACTGCCAGACGCCTCTGAACAAATCACAAAATCTTTCTTTTTACTATTATTATCATTACTGCTACTTCAAAAAAATATTTTCTGTGGGGTCTGGACCTTGACAAAAAATAACTGACTACCACTGCTGCAGACTGTCATCCTTGATCCCCATTCCCTGTCCACTTACCCCAATCCATATCTTTTTCCTCATCTCATTTCTCCACAGGCTCCTGCATGCCACAATCCATCACCTTGCCCTTTCTGGATCCCAACACCCATCCCCTGAACCCCACATAAGTTTCCTTATGCTCCTTCTCCCCTTACCAACCTCCCTGCACCCACCCCCAAAAACCACCCTACAATCCATCACCTTGCCCCCAGTACCCCAACTCCTCAATGACCACACCATAATCACTTCTGTTCCATCTCTCCTCTGCACCGCAAGGCACAATGCCCTGCTATTGCTGAGCCCCATCATCTCTTCTTCCACGTGACCTGTTTCCCCCACTCCACACCTCATCCCCTAGTGCAGGGCCCAGGCACTAGGCTGGACTAGACGCCCCCCATAAGAATCTCCCCATAACCAGGTGGATTGAGTATGAAGTCTTTTGTAGGGAAGGTAAAAGGGTCACCTGGGAGTAGGGGAGCCCCCATGAAGGGCACTTAAGGCTCCCCACTGGGGCTGCAGGGTTTCTCCAACCTCCTCCCTGGGGCTAGGATGAGGGCCCCCGCCCCCAAATCCCCCTAAAGCTTGGGTTGAGGGTGCTCCACTCCCACAGCTGGGGTTGGAGGGGGTCCCCAAATTGCAATTAGGGGCATCCCCTGAGCGCCAGGGTTAGGGACCTCTCCACAGGCTCCCTCCCAAGGCTGAGGTTGGGGGCTCCCCAGGGGGATAGGGTTTGGGGACTCCCCCCAGGTACTCCCAAGGCTGAGGTTGGAGGCTTCCCCGAGGCTGAGGTCAGGGGCCCTTCTCAAGGCTGGGGGCCCCCCTGAACCCCTCCCGAGGCTGAGATTGGGGGGCTCCCCGAGGGAGAGGCTGGGGGGCTCCCCGAGGGACCCCCCG